TCATTAAATTCTCATTTTAAACCTTGTTTTTTTTGTTCCAAATTGTTTCGGTTTCTTTGCATGCTTTATCAGAATTTATGTATATTTTACCAATGTAAAATATCACATGTTTCAAGGATCCCTAGATGTTGATATAGTAAAGGATCGTCAATGAAGGTATTTTAGTGCGTTGTAAATTCTTATCTAAGACTTGTATCATTTGATGATGTCATGTGAATCACTAAAAGAATGTATGAAGTGTATGACTAACCCAATATATAATGAGAGTTTCGTAAGGGAACTGAAACAGACTACCATGAGACAAACGATTTTCTTTCTAAAGAGATTCGATTTGAAACTATTATATATTCAATACTGAAACAATTCCAGAGGTTTTCCCTGGCTTTGTCCATGTCAACAAACAATTCGAAGTACCTCAACTTTTTAGAACAGAATTGAATCAAAGAACAATGATTCAAATTACTTCCTTTTACACGAAATGTGATTTTAAAACGGAGAATCTATCTCTATACATACAAATTCAATTACTCAAAGTACATTACAAGTTTAAAACTATCATATTTTATTTTCATAATTTTCATAGGACACAGAAAGATCTACGGACCTTCATCTTTTCACAGGACACAGAAAAATCTACGGACCTTCATCTCCAAATACATTTCTCTTACGTTTTAACCCAAAAGGTGTCACTTGTGTCTCACAAAGGTCCAATCCATGCCATACATGACGAGGCAAATATCGTCGAAAATAAAACATATTTGAGCTAAAATGAGGTCCTTGTAAGACTTGAACTTGAGCAAAACCAGGACGCCAATCATCACTTCCAGCCAATTTAAGATATAGATAACAAATTGGTGATTTAACACATTGACCAGTGACTTGAAATTGATCAATCATGCAAGATTGAAATGGTTTTCTTGGGATGTCATCAAGAACTTGTGGTTCCAATGGATCAACTCTTCTAACATGTTTAGAATTCAAATGGTTCACTAAAATGTCATTGGAATTTTCATCACCAAACCTTAGACTTACATGATTTGTGGTGTCTGCACCTTTTGTACATGTTGTCTCTATTGTCACAAAATAAGTGCACTTTTCCTGAAAAAAATAATTGTCAAGACATAAGGTATTGTCACTCATTTGAATATAATTATGCTATTCAATTTTCTAATTGTATAAATTCAGAATTTGTATAATTCGGTTTCTGATTGTATAAATTTAGAATTTATATAATTTGGTTCCTAATTGTATAAATCCAGAATTGGTATATCCTTACCCTAACTATTTGTATACAATTTATGAAAAATTCATAATAAATTACCATGTTTATATATTGGCAAGCGAAATACACAAACAGAGTTCTGAAAAAATCTTGTATAAATACAGAATTTGTATATACTTACCCTATTTGTATATTTGCAAGTGAAACATACAAACGGAGTTTTGAAAAAATCCTAAATGTATAAATATAGAATTTATATATAGTTATCTTGTTTGTATATTTGCAAGCAAAATATACAAATCGTAACCTTCATAGCAAACATAACTATAGTTATGAAGCACAATTACAGAAACTATAGCTATAGAACCTTATTATGTCTAGTATTTTTGCTATTTCTGAAATATTCTCTTAAATATATTATCATACCTTTTTTTTTGTTGAAAGGCTATCACTTGTGGGCTTGATGGAAACCTCCGAACCTGAAGCAAGAAAGATAAAACTTATGATAAAAATAATTAATGTTATTGTAAATTTGCTTATTAATATCATCTTTAATTAATCTATTGAGATTAATTTGATATAAAGAAATTAAGAAGAACATTAATGAAACAAACATGCATTTGTTTTTATATATGAGAAGTTTAGCATATATTTGATACTCATTCTTTGCTTCATATGGACAAAAAGGAAATATTCTTGGATGTTTAGATTACTTGAAGATAATAACCACCTTTTAATGATATTAATCTTCTTGTTTCATTTGCTTTTAGAGATAATTAATTAACACACTAATGTTTTGTTTGTTGTATTGAAATAACATGTATTGCGTAATTTTTAATTTTTTTTTTAAAATTCCTTTCACCAGTATGATAGAAAGGATACGAAGAAGATTTTGAGAGACAATTCTGTCATTAATTGTACTAATACTACATTAGAAAACACTTAAAAATAATGATTGATAAGAATTAAGAAGTATTGAAAGATATTTTAGAAATTTCTTCATATTTATATTTATTTTTCGTATATTTGTCACTTGAAGATAACCTTTCTTTGCCTCAAAGGAACGGATTGCTTTTGTAGAGAAAAATTCAGAGATCATTTGGTTCAAAGAAATGAATAATGCAGAAATTAATTATGTAAAATTAATATTAGAGGCACAGGTGATTATGCGTTGCTAATTGGGTCAATTTTTTTGTTAAAATAGAAATTGAATCAATTTTAGTTGATTTTTTCAATTATTAAAATCAAACTAAACTAAAGTTAATATACATTTATATTGTGCTTGATTTGTGTCATTTGAACTTATGTCTTTGAACATAACTTGCGTCACTAAACTTATTTCTTTTGCCTTATGCCTTCAGACATAACTTGTGTCACTGCACTTATGTCTTGCGAATTTTATTTTGCTGTCAAATGCAGCAAGACTACTTCAAACACAAAACTGAAGTCCAATAGATCGTTACAAGTAACTTAAGACTACTTCAAGGTCCATGTATAATTTACATTTTAGATTATTAAAACTTTAAGCCGTCTGTAGAAGATGCCAAGCAATACAATGCCAAATTTCCAGCTAACACATCATTTTTTTAAAACTATATTGATGCTTTACCAAATACCAAACCAGGTCTGCAAAAAGAAAAAAATGTTAACTCACAAAATTACAACCAGAAATTAAGCCTTAATTGATGGTGTTGAGCAGCATGTAACAAAAAATGTCTACTTTAAATATTGGCATCAGTTTTGGTTAAATACTAACAAGAAGTACAAGGAATCCTTCAAACTGCAAAAAAAAAAAAAACATGGAGTGTTTCAAATTCTGCATCTCCCTTCTTGTCCTTCAAACTCTCTTGACCATTTCGCGTATAACCGCGACAGTTTCACCAAGCTGTCCTGTGGTTTTCAGAGAATATATTGGAGCTCTAGGCAAGAATGTAACATTTTCTGATGTTCCAATTAATCCGAACGTTGAGTTTCACTTCCTCCTCTCCTTTGCTATAGACTACACAAATACAATTTCACCACAACCAACTAATGGTGACTTCCTGATCTATTGGGACACTGATAACCTCACCCCTTCTCATATTTCTTCTATCAAGGCTAAGCATAAAAATGTAAAGGTAGGTATGAGTCTTGGTGGTGATACAGTGAACGGTAAAAATGCCACCTTTGCTCCTACATCGATTACATCTTGGGTGAGAAATGCAATATATTCAATCACCAAGATAGCGAAAGAGTATAACCTGGATGCAATAGATATAGATTATGAACACTTCAATGTAGATCCAGATACATTTGCAGAGTGCATCGGGCGACTGTTGTACTTCCTTAAACAAAACAATGTCATCTCTTACACATCAATAGCACCATATGCAGATGATTCAGTGCAGGTGCATTATTTAGCACTCTGGAGAAAGTATGGTCATCTAATAGACTATGTCAACTTCCAATTTTATGCCTACGCGAAGGGCACAACCATTCCTCAATTCTTGCAGTACTTTGAAACACAGAGATGTAACTATAAAGGAGGCAAGATTCTTGTGAGTTTTGGAACTAATAATATTGGCGGCTTGTCTCCTGAACATGGATTCTTTGATGCATGCACCATACTAAGGAGCCAGAGGAAACTTCACGGTATCTTTATTTGGTCTGCAGATGACTCTATGAAGGATCATTTCCGATATGAAAAGCTGTCACAGAACCTCTTAGCAAGTGCAGCTTAGATATCTTGCATCGATTTAAGGCAATATTTTGTAGGCCATGACAAAAGATAAAAATTGGAATGCTAGAATGTTATTTCTTATTTCGGAGACTTCTCTAGGAAATAAGACATGTATGAGGTTGTACTTGTATTGTGGTCTTAGAATCAAAATATTGATGCAAACAAGTTCAGATTTACGATTATGTGCTAAAGCTTACGACTCACAGAAAAATAATTATGTTTTTAAATATAGTTTAGAACACTAAAAGGACTGACACGAAGCATTTCACCAAAACGCAAAACATGTCAATTAGACTGACCAGCAGCTCTATTCAAGTCTAAGCATGTAGACGTGTTACAACACCTATACCTGAGTACAGATATGTTATAAAATGCAGCAGCATGCGTGAATATAAAGGTTAAGACTAGCAGGCACTTGGTTTCCATTATTATGCCTTGAATTAGTCGCCTAGAAAATACACAATTAAGAATTTTCCGGTTTCAAAAGCAAGCAATCCGTTCAGTATCTTGAGTAAAGAAAGTAAAACGTACAAGTTCCTTGACCAGCTTGCAGTCCCACCAGCATATGTCCTGTATTTTCCCAAACCCTTGCACTTTGATTCATCTGCATCATCACTCTCAATGCATTTGGCGCGAAATATTTCTAGGCAGATGGATTTACCTGGTTTAACTTTCAATATCATGTGAGAATTAGATAGAAGTGAGAAAAGCTCTCCAAAATTGTGCTACTACTATGTTATTCAAGTGAAGAACCACCATTTAGTGTCTATGCACAAGCCTTTCAAACATCCTGCGGAATAACTTATTCCAGCTTATTCTCACAAACAAGAAAAAGACAATGCAGTACCAGCCGTTCACAGCATTCATACCCCACAAGTTGTCATATAAACTGTCCAAATTCGATCACTTACCTAAGAAGAAACAATTGAGCCGTCCTTAGAAATGCCAAGAAAGACAATGATTGGCTTCCAGCTGACAGAATCTATTAATAGTATGGATGCTTACAAAACCAGGTCCTGAAAAGAGACAAAACTCACAAAAGAACAAATAGAATCTAAACCTTATAGGGTAGTCGGCAATGCATACAACAAATGCCTTGTTGAAGGAGAAATATTTTAATAGGCATCTACTTTGGTTAAATACCAATAAGAAGTACAAGGGATCCTTCCAACTACAACAAATCATGAAGTCCTTAAAATTCTGCATCTCTCTTCTTGTCCTTCAAGCTCTCTTCAACATTTTCCCTACGATCGAGGCAGTTCCAGCATTCTGCCCTGGGGTTTTCAGAGAATACATTGGAGCTGAGGGCAAGAATGTCACATTCTCTGATGTCCCAATTAATCCAAATATTGAGTTTCACTTCCTCCTATCCTTCGCTATAGACTACACGAACACAAAATCACCAGAACCCACTAATGGTGACTTCCTGGTTTATTGGGACACTGATAACCTCACCCCTTCTCATATTTCTTCCATCAAGGCTAAGCATAAGAACGTTAAGGTAGGAATGAGTCTCGGTGGTGATACAGTGAATGGTAAAAATGCCACCTTCACTCCTACTTCAATTACTTCTTGGGTGAGAAATGCAATATATTCAATCACCAAGATAGTGAAAGAGTATAACCTGGACGCAATAGATATAGATTATGAACACTTCAATGCAGATCCAGATACATTCGCCGAGTGCATTGGGAGACTGTTGTACTATCTTAAACAGAACAATGTCGTCACTTACACATCAATAGCCCCATATGCAGATGATTCAGTGCAGGTGCACTATTTAGCACTCTGGAGAAAGTACGGTCATCTAATAGACTATGTCAACTTCCAATTTTATGCCTATGAAAAGGGCACAACCATTCCTCAGTTCCTACACTACTTTGAAACTCAGATGTATAACTATAAAGGAGGCAAGATTCTAGTTAGCTTTGGAACTGACAACAGTGGTGGCTTGTCTCCTAGACATGGATTCTTTGATGCATGCAGCATACTAAAGAGTCAGGGAACACTTCATGGTATCTTTATTTGGTCTGCAGATGACTCTATAAAAGATCATTTTCTATATGAAAAGTTGTCACAGAACCTCTTAGCAAGTGCAACCGTTTAAGATAATCCTTTGTAGGCCATGTTCCGTGTTTGAAGTAGTTCGCTTACTGTGGTCTTAACATCAAAAATCCAGATTTACAATTTCTAAAGGTGCTAAAAACTTAGTCTTTGCATAAGTATTGAGTAATATAATTTGTTTAATGCATTCCATGACAGACCAGATATAGGACAAATGCAAGGAAATATGATAATCATAGGACATGAAATGTACTCATGGAATTAGTGAGGTGCACAACCCAAACAATTCCATTAGATTTGTGTAAAAGTGATGAAACATAGGCGCTTCACGTGTGTATTTCATTTTTTAAAAATTAATTTTATTATTTTCTTATTCCTTTCCATTTTCTTTTTATTTCTTCTTCGTTTCTTTTCTTCCAGCAGCTTTTCCTCCTCAACCCATGGAAATAGTTGAGGTGCACATGCTGGCTCGATCACCACGGTTATTAAAAAAATAGGACACAAATGCAAAGCTTATAGCAGCACACTTCCCAACTTGCCAGGGAATCTAACAAAATGTAGCAAGGACTACATGTAAATACCTTCCTCAAATCTATTTTTGTCTAAACAATATGCCTATCCACTATCCAAGGTCTATAGTAGATATATGTTTAGACAAAATAGATTACTATCAGATATATGTTTAGACAAAAAAACTAAAACACAAGCCATACACCTTGCAAACGTCAAGTAAGTAAAATATATTACTATCAAATATAAGTTTAACATGCTATAACTACATGAATACATATTTAGAGTCCAAATGGAGGAGATGTGATCTTAAAAGGAATCTACACATCTGTAAAAGTATTAAGTCAATGCAAATATACCCACACAACAAATCAATCAACAACTGACAGTAGCTAACTTGAAAAAACAAATCAAGTTTCCAACATATATATTTAGAGTTCAAATGGAGAAGATGCTTTCATGCATTATAAAAAGGACAAATTGTTTATAGAATCGACAACTACAACATTAAACGTAGCAACCAAGTTCATCTCATGAATTCCAATGGCAAATTTCTCTTTTCTATAAGAAATAGGGTAAGTACCCTTCACGTGTCATACAGATTCTTTTTTATGAGCCAAGTACGTAAATTACACTTTTTTTACTTAAATTTTCAACATACTTGCACATACTTTTTTTCGAACAGAAACAGTGTTTGGACATTGGGATGGATATAAATGGAGTTATGATGGAGTGGCTAGCAAAGAGATACCATGGTTTCAAGTGAAGAAAACTCACAATGTCCGTAAAGGAGATAAACTCATCATGTACTCCTCTCCCAGTGTCACGTACAAGCTCCCCGCAAGCAGCAACCATTTCAATTCATATAGTTAGTTACCTTCACTATTGAGTTAATCTTTTTTTATTTGACCCAAGAAGTATAAATTTAGAAGTTGCATCCTCCTAACTACTTAGTAGTTATAAAGAACTGTTGGAGTTGAAACAGGAAAGCTATAAAAACTCCCAACAACAAAAATTAGTACTAAAATTTATCAAATGGAGTAAAGGAAACTCATATTAGAGAAGCAATAAAATCAAGAATAAAATGATAGTTATAGATGCTAATAAGCTTGCCTTTTCAGAGATTAAAAAGCCATGGGCGGATCCAAAGATTAGAAGCCAACAATCATACATTGAGAATACTAAAACATACAAATTTATATATGTTTTCTGCCATTTCTTGGAGTTCAAAGTTCTCTCTTCTTTAGTTGAGGTTACTCTCCTCCTCCCCTTCTCCCCTCACCTTACCATGATTTCTGTTGCTTGTACATTTGATATTGCCAAGCTATGCTTACACTAACCAGTGAATTTTTGCCATTACTGCTTATTGTCAAACTCAACTAATTATCTGGATGTGCCACCTTTTGGTTGATACAGAGCTCTCTATCTCACATGTTTACTATGTCTAAGTCGTAACTTTGATTTCAGGAAAGTGCTTACAAAACATATTTACGAGTCTGGTGCTTTGTCCTGTGGAGATGGAGCAATATCGAACAAAAGACCTCTAATTAAGAATGGAGAAATCTCAACTGTCTTACCCACTCTTGCTGATAATGTACATTATGATAGCTTCTTGTTAAAACATGTTAATGGGTTTACATGAATGTGAAACATTGACTAGCTTGCAGTTCAACCAGCATAATTCATCCCAAGTGAACTCTTGCTCCTTGTTGAATTGCTCAATTCAAATCCTTTAGCACAAAGAAGGCAGTCAGACTATGTTAACATAGAAAAACAGATTCGATAAAACATTCTCTGGTTCTGAAGTTAACTGAACAACTCCTTTAAAACTTGCATTCTTTTCCGTTTCCTCTTCGACTGAAGCTAATGGACAACCTACAACCTAGCTACAACTCTCAAGGGTTCAGCATGTGAGAACTAGGAAGAAGTGAGAAAAGCATATCCAAAAGTGTGCTATTGAGTCATACAAGTGAATAACCACCACTTAACCAACCAACAACAATCTCCAATAATTAGCAAAGAAGTTACACAAATTTAAATAATGTGAAGAAACAGAAATGAACAAAAACATGTTAGCTTTGATTTGCTCAATGTATACAACCATATGCTTCTGCTTGTAATATAGATTGAATCCCAAAAATGCTACCTATACTAAAAAAAAATAGTTTGAATCCTAAATTCATTCTGATATGTAGACCATATCAAATTTGAATCATATCTCGACAAAATTACTTGAAACGATATATCAATACAGCTCTAGCAATGATAAACGCAAGGGAGAGGATTTCCGCAGGTGTTACACTAACTCTAATCCTCAACAATAGTAGCAACAACAGCAACTAGACTCAACTAAATTCAATTACTCATCACCTTCAATTCTTCTCTTTTTACTCTTTTTCTTGCTACTCTGCTCTGCTGAAGCAGAACCAGCATCAGGATCCATACTCTTCCCATCCTCTTCCACCTTCCCCACCTCGTGTTCACTGTCACCAACACCTCTATCCTTCTTTTTCTTCTTCTTCTTCTTCTTCTTCTTATCTCTACTCGTCATACCATCTTCCTTAACTTCCTTCAACTCCAGCTCCCTATCTATTTTAACAAACTCCAGCTCATTTTTGTTGGATTTTTCCATCTCTTCTTCCCCTATATCGAGTTTTTGTTCAGTCTTGATCAACTTATGACCCTTCACTTTATCAATTTTTGACGAATTTTTGGTCTTAGGCTCAGCTTCCGGGTTTTCTTCCTTGACAAGATTCTTGCTTTTCTTGTTTTCTCGGAACCCATTTGGGATATCTTCATTCTTCTCAACCTTTAAACCCACATCCCGATTTTTCTTTTCTGAAATTTCTTCAACTTTGACATCATGCTCCTTTTTCACACTGAGTTTCTGCTGAATCTTAACAAGCTTGTTGAATGAATCAGCAGCACCTTGGAGATATAAGGAAACAGCATGTGAAGCTTCGTGGTCTGATGCAGCAAATTTGGATAGGGATTTTGCTGCGGCGGAGAGAGAGATTGGGATTGTAGATTCAACTTTAGCTGATACCCTCTTCATTTTGCTATGCTTCTGTTGAGCTAGGATTTTGTTAGGGTTTTATGATTTTAACTTTTGAGTTCCACTTGACTTTCTACCTATTTCAAAATCAGGGTTTTATTATTATATTAATACTAAATAATTTAAGGCCCGTCATACGGACCCAATATAATTTAATACTTATATCATAATCTCTAAAAAAATAAATTAACATTTAAGAAAATTACAAATATCTCCTTTCGAATACATTTCTATTCCTATCGGAGAAAATGATCAAAATGTATGAGGGTTGTTTTACACTGATCCTTAATATATTCCACATGATTCATATTGTCCTTAATATATTATAAAAGGTACTCAATTTGGTCATTTGCCCTAAAAGTAACAAATTCATAAGTTAAATTTAACGGCAGGCCCACTAAAAAATAAAATATCAAAAGCTCCCTTCTCCTTCATCAGGCATAGCTGAAAAGCTTGGCCTAATTCTTCTCCCTTCTCTCTTCTCCGGCGATTATAATGTTCTAGACCATTGACACACCACCGCTCGTCCACCAGCCAGTCGTTGCTCTCCACTTCAGTCCCTCCTCCACCCATCCTCTGTTCCCACTGTTTATTAACCCTAATCCAAAATTAGGATTTCTAAAAAAAATATATTTATTAGTATTAAATTAGAAAATTAGTTTATTTTTTTTACATTGTTATTGATATTATAAGATTTGATCCTATATTTAGAATTGCTAATGTCTCTAGTGAAAGCCAATTGTATATGTGTTCGTCACAATTTTTTTTTAACAGACCTTGTGTTCCTGTGTTTGAGGCAACATTTTTCAGCTTAAATTTGTCATAGGGGGTTGATGAAGCATCAACCAAACAAATTTCATGTTGAAGGCATTGTAAAAATAAATTCACAATTTATATAAAATAAGATGAACTCGGTCCTTCAATGTTTATCAAAAGTAGAACTCAATTATCTGAACCATACTTTTGAGAAGTAATATTTTAAAAGTGGAAGTGGGATCCTTTTGATGGCTAAGGTAAAAAACAACACACAAACTCTCTGAAACAGAGCTTCTGATGGGAAGACATAGATAATGAAGGAGAAAGGGAGCTTTTGGTATTTTATTTTTTCATGGTCCCTAACGTTAAATTTAACTAATGGATTTGTTACTTTTAGGACAAAGGACCAAATTGAGTACCTTTTATAATACATTAAGACCATATGAATCATGTGAAATATATTAAAGATCAAAATAAAGTAACCGTCATATATTAGGGACCATTTTGATCATTTTCTCATTCCTACAGCCATCCCCTATCGGAGAAATACCTATCCCCTCTCGAATTCATTTCCGCAAGAAGTAATGTATCATTTGCAATGTATCAGACAATCAATGAATGTATTCGAAAACAATGGAAAATTCGAGATTTTTGTAATTGAGGAAACTTTCGGGATAGGATTTTTGTAATGAAATTTTTGTACTTTAAACTATTTTTTTCAGTAAACAACTTCAGGACATTACTTAATAATCTATTTCAAATGTTCATATGACATAAATGTGTCATTTACAACTCAAATTGAGAAAGTTGAATTCCAAGAAATTCTATGCAGCAAGGAAATAAAGAATTGTGTTAGATTATGAGTTCGTGTTCGAGGAATATATAAAATGCTTATATCTTTGAAAAAGTTCATCGATCTTCATATATTTTCGCAAGTGATATCTATAGTCCACAATGTTGTTATCTTTTTTTGCAATATTTGCACCATAAAATTTGCATTTGATAAAATACTAATCATTGATCAATTAATTAATAAAGTTCGA